ACTCGGGGCCTTTCCGGAAGGGCCCGAGCTCTAGCCGGCTCTGCTTCGGCGCCTTACTCTGCCTTCGGCTTTTTCCGCAAGAGGGTGGAGGAAGGTTGGGAAGCTCTCGGAGTGTTCGGTCCTTTCCGGAGGGCGAAAGGGTGGGAAAAAGGAAAGGGAAAGACCGTGTAATCCAATCACGAGAAGTAGGGGTGGAAGGGAAGCTAGTCACTTTCGTTTTAAATTCACTGTGCACATGAAGGGCATACAAACTCCGAGAGACTATACACGTTTCATTTCTTTGGGGACTTTGGGTCTGCTTGATTAGCCAGTTTGTTAAATGAAAAACCACCTTGGGAACCAGTAGTTAGCGTAATGGCTATGTCGCTGGACTCCCACGTTGTCAACCGCGGTTCGAGTCCCGGACCCGGTGGCTTACCATCACCCCTGGGGGTGATTTCTCGCTTTCTGTCTCTGTCTCTGTCTGTCTCTCTCTCTCTCTCTCTCTCTCTCTCTCTCGCGAGCGCATGCACCCTACAGAGAAAACCTCTCCAAAAAAAAGAAAGAAAGAAACCACCTTGAAATATATTCCCAATAAATATAAACAAATAAGATTGATCAACTCACGCCAGCCTGGGGATTGGCGGTTGAGGCAGCTGGACTCCACATGGCTGACAGTGCAGTTCAAGTCCCAGATCCAGAGGATGGAAAAGAGACTGGGAGTATGTGCATGGGAGGCCAAAATCCCTAAAGGAGAACTAGAGAAGGGATTGCAGCCTGAGTATCATCCATGGGGGAGGGGGGATGCTATCTAACTTTTCTTCTCTTAGTCTCTGGTGAGCCCAAATGCCCTCTAGCAAGTTAAAAAAAAAATCAATCAGCTCATGGTAATTCTAGTTTCTAGGATAACCAAACAACTACATTACAATTACTGCTTTTTAGAAGGCAAGGTAATGTTTGGACTAGTAGTACCTTTATAAAAAATATACTTCCTGGGACCAGTAGATGGTATCATGGTTAAGGCACTGGACACTCCCACATGGTGGACCATGGTTCGAGTCCCAGACCTGATGGCTTGCTTTCTCACTACCTCTGTGTGTGTGTGTGTGTGTGTGTGTGTGTGGTCAAATTAAAATAAATGAATGAATAAATAAAATTAAATAATTCTTTTAAAATATATATTTCTGCTGATATTTTATTATTTTTAATTGCCAGAGAGTGTGTGCGCTTGCCTGAGAGAGATGAAGAAACAGAGAAAGCAACCCCCCACCAGTGGGAAAGGGGGAATAGATCATTGCTGACAACAATACAATCTAAGAAAAGGAGGGGGGAGCAACAGATAGCTTATTCCAAATTTGAAAAAAATGAGATATATATTTTCCATGAAACATTTGTACAAAATTATTTGGCAACATGAAGTCAAATAAGAAATGAATCAAAATAAAGAATTAACAATGGAGATTTTTGTTGCGATCAATCTATTTAAATGGAGGACTAAGATCAAATAACAGAATTGAGTAGGACTATATGACAGAATGAAACATATAAATTCTGACACAATTTAAAAAGAGCTATTATTTCATTTGTTCAGTACATATTAACTATATATCATTTCGTAATCATTTAGTACTTACTCTGTGCTAGGCAATTTTCAGGCATTATAGATACAGTCATCGTCACATCAATGTCTTGGTGTTCGTGAAACTTACATTCTATGAGAGAGACATACAATAAACATATCTGTATATATTATCTAGATATATAATAGCATATCAGATAGCTATAAGTGCCGTGAAGAAAAATAGGGTAAAGGGATAGAGAATGAGAAAGGTGCAATTGTAGTTGGTGTGGTCAGGGACCTGCTCCCTAAAAATGCGATGTATGAGCAAAGAATGAAATGAACCAAGGAATAGGGTCATGAAAATATCTGGGGAAGGATACACCCTAGGCAGAGGAACAGGCCAGTCATCTTCAGTCAAAGACCATCGAGAATATAGTTGACAAGCTGGATTTCTCACTCTTCAGGGAGAAAAAAACACACGCCATTTCTAACTATGGAGTATTTCACTAAGAGATGTTAGAGAGAACTTAAAGGAGTTCAGTGATTTGGGAGAGGGACTAAAGGCATACTTATACTTAACCATTATTTGTTCTTTATCTGAAATTCAAATATAAGTGGGTCTACAACATGTTTTTCTTTTTACTAAATCTGACAACACTGAAATAAATAGTCAGTTGCATGGGAATTACTTGAATATTTTGTCCCTTTTCTTTCCATTTCATTTAGATTTTCCGTTTAATCTAGATAGAAAAAAATTAATTCTATTTGAGCAATTCCTATGTATTTTCTATCTACATATGGACAAACATGATTGTATAAGTGTGTATATATACACACATGACACACAGTAAGCACCTCATAGTATAGACTGTAATATACACACTCATGAATTGACCATGTTGATGTGATCACTCGGTGAAATGTATCCTGTGGCCCATCATCCTCTAGCCGGCTGAGAAAAAAGCCATTGTCTGGTCTAATTCAAACCTGGTCATCATCCTCAAGTGGAATTGAAGGATGAGCGGATTGGTTGCGGCGGCCTATTTACATCAATTCACACCCCTCTCCCCCACAACTGGCGGCTCCACAGACCTGGGGAAGGCTTTTGCCGAAGTACTCTTAAAGGTTTTCAAGAGCTCCTTAGCTTTGAGCGTTGCCATGGCGCTGACTCTGGGAGCCAAGGCAACCGGGAACTTATTCTATCTCGAATTTTCGATGTTCGCGGCTGCAGTAGCTCCAGTGTGCGGTTCTGAAACCCGGGTGGCGGAGAGACCACGGGCTCACGGGGTTGGGGGAAACGTCGCAGTTCGTGGAAATAATTTCAAGCACAGCCAATCTGCCCACCACCGGAGGACACCCCTCTTGCTGCATCTGTCAGGAGATCTTTGGTTAAGGATGGTGGACTCCCACATGGCCGGCTGCGATTCGAGTCCCGGACCTGGCGGCTTGCTTTCTTGCTTTCTTGCTTTCTCTTTCTCTCTCTTCTCCTCTATCAAATTAAAATAAATAAATGGCTAAATAAAGTTAAATAAAATATCTTTTTCTAATTATTTATTTAGTTTTATTTATTCATTCATTTATTTTTAGTTTGACCAGAAAGAGACACAGAGAAAGAGGGAAAGTGAGAAAGCAAGCTGCCAGGTCCGAGACCTGAACCGTGGTCAGCCATGTGGGAGTGTCCAGCACATTAACCAATGCAACCTGCTGGTCCTTAATAAAAGAATTCTTTAAAAGGGGGTAGGGGGTCGGCAGGTGGCGTGGTGGGACTGGAACTTCCTCAACCCTCAGCTCAGAGGCCTCGGCCAAGGCTCCGGAAGCCAGTTCTGCTGTTCTCTCATGATCCCATTCTCAAGAACTGCCCTCAGCGCTGCAGGTGCCGCTGGTGCCCCATTCGCTTTTCCCTCCATGTTTGCATATTGCAGCAGCTACTTGCCACCCTTACTGGGAGCGACAAGCAGGGCCTAACCTTGTGGACAAGGAGAGGGAGGTCAGCCTACCGCAGAGGAGAGTGAGACACCCGCATCCGCACTCCAAGGAGCCCACTTTGCAGTCTGAGTCCGCTTTATCATTCACCCTGCTTCTCACCCTTCGCGCTTGGCTCCTTTCATCTTCCGTGTGCCCGTATTCATGCTTTTCTTCAATCTGACCACGCAGCCCCTTATTCGCCCTTTTCCTCCCTTCCATTCTCTCTCGTCTTTGGGCCCTTTTGTAAGGTGCCCAGGTCTCTCCCTACCCCTTTCTGCCCCTGGTCTTGGAGTAGACATAGCCAAAGCTGGCAGACCTAAGTGTAACATGTATTTGCTTTATGTTATTATTCACGAGCATGTTTTTATTCTCCTCTAGACTGAGTTCTTGGAAAAGAGGAGCTCTATCTGATTCAGTGCAGAAATTCGCAATGCCTACGGCCGGGCAGGTGGCATGGTGGTTAAGAGCACTGGACTCCCACATGACAGACCACAGTTTAAGTCCCAGACCTTGTGGCTTTCTTTTTCGCTTTCTCCCCCCCTCCCCCCTCTCT